TGCCAACCGTTTCACATGCACTCCCCAGGGGCCGCGCTAACACAATTCAATCGTTATGGGATAATAGCACGCTCTGTTATTTGTAATATACACGTGCTTCAATTTTTAAACCATTCTCGGAGAGTTTTATTTCTAATACAATGTAAATTGAAATAAATGGTACCTCGAATATCATAAACTCACGGCTAAAATAATTGAGTGAATATTATTTTAAGAAAAGCACGAGTATAAAATGAAGTTTAAGTACAATTATGCGTGTGCCTATCACAAAGAGGTTTCAATAAACCACATGTAATTAGTAGTTTAACTAGACCAAGTTGAGTAATTGCCTAGAACTTTCTACGACGGCTACATCTTACGCCAATTGATAGCCCGAAGTAGATTTTGTGTGTGGAAATCTGAAAGGTTAGATCAAGTACACGAATGGGGTAGGGAAAGCATTTTTTCAAAACCCATTCGTCAATCCGAGAAAAATCCGCATTCGAACAATTCACCAATTACAATCCACTGCAACAGCACAAAGCGATCTTCTGTACATTCACTATAGAGAGGTGATTCCCAACATCAATCTCCCATCTGGATTCGCACGCGGGCACTCCCAATCCGAAGTAAATGAGCAATTGCGCCGACTACAGCGGGCGGTACGTTATTCACAGCACTCCAAAAGCCATTTGAGGAACAGATCGGCTGATAGGTCGGCCGCTGCGACCTCTCGACACGCCCATTCGTCAGCGCGGGCGACGCCGGGCACCGCCTACGCGCTCTGCGGCGCTCCGCGAGGGCCCTCCACACACTCCAGCCGCGCGAGTGGCTCCGGGCGACAAGGCGAGCACTCGACTGCGCAACCACTCGAATTTCTGTTGGTCTTCATTCACCTTCAAATTAGTCTCGCTCACAACATTGCGCATTAAAAGGAGGAGTTCTAATTGCGTAAGAAAAAGTAAAACCACAACGATGTGCAACAACTTTTAGTAGCAAGAAATATTAAAATTGGATATAAGTAGAATGCACACTGCCATTTTTATGTCATATGAGATTAATTTAAATTTCACAATTTCGAAGTTTAGCAAATCGTCAGAAATGAACCAGAGTGGCTTCTATAGTTGTAGAACATAACGGTGAAGTACAAGTTGTTAGAATCCCTCAGACAACATTGAAAAATAACAATTTGTCTAACTGGTTCTTATTGTAAAGGGCCATCTACTTTTCAGTGTACGTACACAACACCAATTTCACGAAGGAATGCATACTCTTACAACTTAAATGTCTCCCGTATAATGGTAATTTCCGACGACTTAATTATTTGGTCGGTAACTCAATAAATGTGTATCTTGTGAGAATTAAAATGAAGTGCACCCGCAGTCAAAAAAAGAAAATAATACGATCATAATTGATCATGAAATCGTTGTGCCAGTTCGTCTCATTCCATAGCATTTTGTAGCTCGCACGAAAGAACAAACCGGCGCGCTCTGGGGACAGCGGAGAACGGCGAGACCGCAGATACCTGAAAAGCACGCCGGAGCCGAAGCTCGCGACCTATCGCGCCGCCGAGGGCGACTCGGGTTCGCATTAAAAAGCCATTTGAACGGCCCTCCCCACAGACACGCACGCGCGTGCGGCGAGGCGGCGGTCGGAGGAATCGATGGGGCCGGAAGAAGAGCTTCGAGGCCGCCGCGACGCGCCATCGATCTGGTGTCTCGAACACGGGATTTCCCAACAAACTCTCGCTTATTATCTCTCTAAGGTCCATGCCGCGCCGATCCGGTGCCTCAAACAAAACCTCCCACGAGTGTTCTCGCTTGTTCCATGCAGTTCCCCTTTGTTGTCTCTTGGCAGTAGCAGGTGACACACCATGGCGAACGCATGGCCGAGGAGCCCTCCATTCCCAGTCCGAAGAGTCGTTCTAGATTAAGAAATACCTCGGTGGCTGTAACTATCACGGGAGATGTGAGTTCTCCGAAATGTCCCAATGATGGGAAGGAAAATATTGTGAATAGCATCACTCGTTTGTCCGAAGTGAAGTCTGACTAGGTCTTCAAATTAATTTTGATTAATGGACTCCCAAAATCTTCAAAATAAATTTCCTACCATCTCTTTTTAAGAAATGCAATCAATATATAGTTATATTTTATTAGTTACGATTAAAAATATAAATTTTGAGAATTATAAAATAAGTTTAAAAGTAAAAATCAAGTTATCAAATAAATTCAATTTTTGTAAATTGCACACTGCATATTGTTAAGGATTCATAGAATTTGCTTTACGATCCATCACGATCTCATTTCCATAACGTCGGGAGAATAACATCTTTTCATAAGCATTTTATATTTGAGAATAGAATCATATTTGTTTACGCGTTCGATCGCTGAAAGAGAAAAGTACGGGCAGAGCAGAAGGGAGAAGAAAAATATCAACGAAAGAGAATTTACGTCCTTTACCACACAGCACTGTCAACGAAAACTACAGCTTGCCAATCTTCGTTCTACAGAAAGGACATTCCCACTTTTCACGCTACCACACTAATGATCGTCGATGTCAAGAATTCTAAAGCAGCCGTTGAAGACAAGAACAAACGACTGAAACCATACTAGTTGATCTCTTGCCAACTTCAGTCAGTAAGTCAAATCAATAATAATTCAGTGCATTCACCAGTCTACGAAACACTGTATAATGTTCTATTATCTTAGGGATTTACAAGAAGGGTTTGGCTCATTATATACTTTAAAAATACTGAACTTGAGAAATATTTTTTACACAACAGCTAATGTTTTTGTGGATAAGATAGATATAATGGTATTGATTGTAGTGCAAATGAAACTTTAATAATAATAATAATAATAATAATAATAATAATACAATTAGCGAAGACGCCGTATTACAAATGATCCTACTAATGTAAATTTCGAACTAAAATAAAATACATTTTGGACAGAAGAAAAAGTTCAAGTAGAGATAACAGAAAAGCAAAATACGTCCTGAAAAAGGCAGAGGAAAAAGTAAGAGTAATGGAAATAGAAGGTTAAAAAGGAATAAAGCGAGAAGAAAATCTTAAAGAAAGGAAAACAGATGGTATCAGAAAATAACAGAGGAGAGTAGAAGATGAAGGGAGAACAAAGGAGAAAATATGAGGACAAAGGGAAGAAGAAAAAAGATGAGAAGAGGTAAGGAGAGAAAAATAGAGTACAGCAGATCAGAGATAAGGCGAGAAGGGAGACGAGGGGAGAAGGGAAGCGAGGAGAGAAGACGGAAAGCGAGGAAAAGAGGCGGCAGCGCAATATTTGCGAGAGTGGCGGGAAACCGAGAACGGCGAAGTCCCGAGAGAGAAGAGAGAGCGCCGAGGCGAAACACACGCCCGCCGTCCATCCGCGCGGAACAACCGCGACACCTCCGCCGTCCCACGCGGATCGCGCTTGCCCGCCCATCTATATTGCATCGGGGGGCGGTGTACCCTTGTTGGCGTTTCCTCATCGAGCGGGGGCTGCGAGCGCGGAGACGAAGGGGGAGGCGGGGGGGGGCGGCGGGGCGGGGGGAGCCGGGCGGGGCGGGGCGGGGCGGGCGAAGCGGGCGAGATCGGGGCAAAGCGGGGAGGGGCGATGGCGGGGGCGGGGCAAAGCGGGGAGAGACGAGGCGTTCTCCGCCCGAGTGAAAATTGTTCCCGCATGCATAAGCGCACGCGGGCTGCCATTATTTCCCGGAATTAGGGGCGCGGCAAACGTCGTGGCAAGCGGGGCCGGCCAAGCGGCGGGCGGCGACAGGCGCTCCGCCAAGCGCGAGGAAGGCGTCCCGTCATTAGCGCCGAAGCGCCCACGCCGCCCGGCCGCCCCGCGCGAGCGCGCCCAGCGGCGACGCAGCCGAGCGAAGCAACGCGCGCGCGCCGCTCCTGCACCGTGCCGCGATGCGCGCGTCCTGCTATTAAAACAATATCGCGATCTGAACTGCCGCGCGAAAACGAGCCGCGCGCGGCTTCATCAAGTTCTTAATTAATACCACTAATTAAACGCGCCGCCGCCGGCGCCTGCCACGGCAGGGTATTGCTTCCGACGCATTCGGTGGCTATGTTTGTAACTGAAACTTAAAACAGGCGAGTGAGTGCACGTCGCAACCAAACACGGTGGCGCGGGGGCGGGGAAGGGGTGGGGGGTGGGGGCGTGAAGCTGCGGTGCCGGGTGGGGCGGGGAGGGAAGGGGAGGACGGAGAGCGGGGAGGGGACGGAGAGGCGGGGAGGGACGGAGAGGGGGGGGAGTGGCACGTCGGAGAAGGGGGAGGGACGGAGAGGGGGGAGGGACGGAGAAG